CCTGACCGCAAGCTCTGTTCCATTACTAGAGGCTGGACATGGAAGGAAAAAGACTCTTGCCCCCTGACGTTTCAGGCTGCTTCAAGGAAAACAGTTTGGGTAGAAAATAGCCATCGCTACGGGAAAGGCGTGCCTGGGACACAGTCGAAGGAAGGGACGTGGCAACAGCACTCCAGGCTGAGGCGGCAGAGCACACGGAGGCCCGAGCTGGTGAACCGTTCTGCATTATCAGCGCAGAAAGCTGGGCGACGGGAAAGGTCTCCAGGGGTGGGGAAGTGCAGTGTCCAGACTACGGTGAACCTCGTGTGCTGAACCCGGGTTCCACCTCCTGCCCATGTGTCAGGCAGCTTGGACGTGTTCCTCCCTGGCATTATTCTCAGGAGAACAGGCTTGAGGACAATTCTGCAGGCATGAAAAAAACAGCCATTTTGGTTGTGAGAAATGAGAAGAGGACAGCTTTGAAGAGACGTTACGGAGGTGAAATCAGCGAAATGTAGTGACTGGTAGGTGTGAAGGAGGGGTCTACAAGGATCGTGCAAGTTCCCCGCTAAGGCCGCTAACATAAATACCTGCTCGGGAAATTCTGTGTCCGTAGGCACTATCAGTATAAATCATGTAAACAGCAGAGACCCCCCCACGGAGGAATTAATCGTACAGAAACACACACATGGCTCATGCATGTTTCAGAGTATTTTTTTTTTGAGAGATTTTCACTGTAGGGCGCGTGCGCTCGCCAGACAGACAGAGAGAGACATAGAGACAGAAAGCGAGAAATCACCCCCCAGGGGGGATGGGCACGCCGCAATCCCTTCTCCTCCATTCTCCTCTCGGGATCTTGGGCACGCATGCACACGTGCCCGGCGTGAGTTTTAAGCCACCGGGTCCGGGACACCAACCGCGGTCGACTATGTGGGAGTCCAGCGACATAGCCATTACGCTAACTGCTGGTTCCCATGTTTCAGAGTATTTTGAAAGCACTGCTTAAAATTGAAAACCAAATCATGTGTTCAATTCACCCAAAAAACTGATACGAAGTATACATGGCATTTTCTGTTACGTAACAGACTATTAGATGAATTTGCTAGGACGAGATATAAGCGGGGTTACTCTATTTCTCCCATAAAAGATGTGAAAAGTAGAAGTTATAAGTCATCTTAATTTTTAAAGTGCACAAGTTACCATACTTCAGGCAAACACATTGTTATTTATATAAGTTTTGTATACATGGGACAAAATCCAGCTCTTAATATTTAATCAACAGTGATGGCATAAGCGCAAGATTCTGGGATTTTTAAGAGATTAATAAATTAGGTGTCAAAGTTCCCCAGCTGGGTATTATACAGCTAAAGTAGTTTTATAGGAAGATGTTTTTAGGTGTTAGATGAACCCAAGAAAACAATGACCACAGAGGTAGAGGGGAAACAAAAGACACAAAATTTATGTCAAAAGAAAATGTTCTAAAAAACATGAATGTTTCAATGTAGAAAACAGACAGATGCTAATGTTCTTAAATACATTGATAAAAGACCCTATAAAAACTATACGTGAGGGACCAGCAGTTGGCATAATGGTTGTTTCGTTGAACTCCCATATAGTAGACTGCATTTTGAGTCCCAGACCCATTGGGTTAAACTCACGCCAGTCATGTGTGTGTGTGTGCCCAAGATCCCGAGAGGAGAATGGAGGAGAAGGGATTGGGGCATGGCCATCCCCCCTGGGGGGTGATTTCTCGCTTTCTGTCTCTCTGTCTCTCTGGCGAGCGCACACGCCCTAAAGCAAAAACCTCTCCAAAAAAAAAGAACTATATGTGAAATCAATTCATGTCCCAAGGCCAGAAAGTGGCATGGTGATTCCTACATCAGAACCCACACAGTCAACTTCGTGGTCTGAATCCCAGATCTGGGTGCCTGAAAAACATGCTGGGTTTATGTGTGAGCCCAAAATCCCAAAAGGAAAAGGTGGGAAAGGGGTTGCAGTGTAGCCGTTCTCCCCTGCAGATGTAATTTTTCATTTTCTCACTCTCTCCAGCGAACACACGTGCCCTATAGTAAAAATAAAATAGTGATGATGATGATGATGATAATAATAGTAGTAAGTAACCAAACCTCCTGTTTGTTTGGACTCAGGCTGAGTTTTCCCATACAGTCTACCACTAGGGGTCAGACTAGTATCCACCTAATCATCAGGTATTCTCCCCGTTTAGACGAATAGGCTTGGTTCGATTCTGTCATTAATTTTATCTTTCCATTCCCCTGCTCTGTGCACAAGTGGTCAGAGGGCTGGACAAGTGGCCTGCGGCCCAGGGCAATGAGGACACCACATTTCCTGCCACAGGGCATGTAAGCCACCCTGGGCCGAGGCGAACTCTGGGCTCTCGGTGAGCTGTGAGCACCCGAGGCTGCAGTGTTCAGGCCTGCCCTGTGGAGAACGCCTGCCTGGGAACAAATCTGTGTCAGAGGAAGGCGGGCGGTGAGAGGGGCAGCGGGCGGTGAGAGGGAAAGCGGGCGGTGAGGACTCCCCGCAGCTGCCTAGAGAGGTCACGTCTGAGCTGGTGAGCTTCCTGAACAAGTACAGCCTCCTCCTTTGTTTTATTTTGTTTTAATTTTAAGATAATTTGAGTAGATTTCTATCATGTGCAACCAAAAGATCCTGACTAAACTTTTTATTGTTGCATTTTTTATTTTTCTTTCTTTCTTTCTTTCTTTCTTTCTTTCTTTCTTTCTTTCTTTCTTTCTTTCTTCTTTCTTTCTTTCTTTCTTTTTTGTTATAGGGCCCCTGCGCTCGCCGGAAAGAGAGAGACAGAGGGACAGAAAGCGAGAAATCACCCCCCAGGGGGGATGGTCACGCCGCAATCCCTTCTCCTCCATTCTCCTCTTGGGATCTTGGGCACACACGCACACACGCCAGGCATGAGTTTAAGCCACCGGGTCCAGGACTCAAACCGCAATCGACCACATGGGAGTCCAGCGACATAGCCATTACACCAACGGCTGGTCCCATCTTTCTTTTTTTCTTTCTTTTCTTTCTGTCTTTTTTAGAGACATTTTTGCTCTAGGTTGCATGTGTTCTCCTAAGGGACAGAAAGCGAGAAATTACCCCCGGGGGGATAGCCACGCCGTAGTCTCTTCTCCTCCATTCTCCTCTCGGGATCTTGGGCACACAC